GGATCTCATCTCCAGCCCCCATATCTTGCACTGAGCTGTTGGCTGACTTTGGCTAAACCTCTTCGACTCTCTGAGCGTCAGTCTCTCTTCTGTGAGATGTTGAACCAGATGGCCTTGGAGGCCCTTCCCATCCTGACATCTTAGCAGGGAGAGGCTAGGTGAAGCTGGAGGGGTCAGGAAAGACTTCTAGAAGAAGACTGACCTGAGCTGGGCTTTGGGAGTGGACCAGGCCTCCACAGATTCCGCAATCCATTTTGAAAATTGGGTGCGGAGCTGGGGACCCAAACACAAACACCACTGCCCTACCCTCAGAGCTCATTGCCTAGTCAGGGAGATAGACCTATTGTGGAAGTATCAGGTAAGGCACTGGAAAAGGAAGGGCAAACCTTAGATAAGACTCAGGAGCTACAGGTGGGATCTGCAGAGCATCCTGGAGATACGAGAAGAGTACCAGGCTGCCTGGGGTCGTCAGGGAAGGCTTCTCAGAGGAGTCATGTCCCATGTGAGCATTTGCTAGGTAGGGGAACAAGCCCAGGAGAGGAGGAGCAGGGACCCTCCAAGGAGTATGCGACTTGTCATGTCCAGGAAGTATGTTCCTTACAAGTGAATCCCACAGCTGGGACACAGGATGGGAAATGGAAGGTGAGGCTGAAGGATAGCATAGGCCAGAGCATGAGGACCTTGTCAGCAGAACCAAGGAGTCTGAGCTTTAACCTGAGGGCAGTATGGCCTCAAAGGAGGGGTATAGCCCTTTAGCCTGTGGAGGCACAGATGGGTTGAGAGCTGGGATGTTTTAGAAACAGGGAAATCAATAGGGTACAAGGCCATTTCCTGCATTTGACTCATAAGCTTGATGCCTAGGGCATGGAAGCTTTTTAAGGGCCTTTGGAAATAGTTGAGACCTGGAAAAATTAATTAATTGGTTTCAATACAGAGAAAATTGCAGAATTAAAGTCAAGAAATGTATAAATGTTTACAGAATATAAATTATGCTAACTAGATAATTGGACTTCAGCTTGCCTGTAGAGTTATTTACAATTTATATTTAATGTAGACATTTTAATTTGCTTGATATGATATGGGATGGGACTCATGGAAGTCTTTAAAAGACCCTTCATTTGGGTGATATATTGGGTTGGATTGGGTTTGGCTGTGAATAACAGAAAATCTCTAAACAATACTGGCTTAAATGAGCTAGTTGTATATTTTTTCTTCGTGTAAAAGTGAGCAGTCCAGGCTGGAATAGTGACTCTGCTCCACCAAGTCTTCAGAGGCCCAGGCCCCATCTTGTGTTGCTGTTCAGTTATCCTTAGCATGGGCCACCTTGTCCACAATGGCAGTGCGAGCTGCAGCCATCAATCTGCATTCCACCTTGCAGGAAGGAGGAGTAGAAGATGGGCACCATCTCTCCCTTTAATGACCTGTATCTCATTGGCCAGAATTTAGTCACATGGCCACACCTAGCCATAAGGCAGCTGGGAAATACAGTCTTTATTCTGGCTGTGTGCCCTGCTAACACCCAGATATTCTATTGCTTTAGAAGAGGGTAAGAATGTTGGGGGACAGCCTACTAATTTGTGATAGAGAAAGAGAAGACGGCAGCTTTAACTAGAGCAGGGCCAGTGGACAGGAGAGAGGGGATGGAGGGAGAAGATATTTAGCAGAACTGTCTAAAAGGTGGAATAAAATAAGCGAAAGGTGGAATCCCCAAAGCTTAGTAACGTCGGGGTACAGGGATAGAAGGAGTAGGCTTGGACGACTTCAGTTCTCTTTCTGAGCTGGGAGACCTTGAGGCAGAGACTCAGGAAGTGGAGAGAATGTGGGGAGGGGTGTTCCCCTCTGGAGATACTGCGGGATCTGTGGATGATCTGGGATGCGGAAGGGAGGCTTGCACCCGACGGGGGGGGGGGGGAAGCAGAAGCTCCAGATCAGAGGCCCCGGGGGCAGGGTTGGGTGGTGGAGCTCAAACCCCGCTCCTACCTCTCCTCTGCCCCGCAGTACCGCCCACCATCAGCGTGCCCAAGGGCAGGGCGGTGGTGACGGTGCGTGAGGGCTCACCGGCGGAGCTGCAGTGCGAGGTGCGGGGCAAGCCGCGGCCGCCTGTGCTTTGGTCCCGCGTGGACAAGGAGGCTGCGCTGCTGCCCTCGGGGCTGCCCCTGGAGGAGACCTCGGACGGAAAGCTGCGACTGGAGCGTGTGAGCCGCGACATGAGTGGGACCTACCGCTGCCAGACGGCTCGCTATAATGGCTTCAACGTGCGCCCCCGCGAGGCCCAGGTGCAGCTGAACGTGCAGTGTGAGTCCCTCCGCCTCACCGGACTACCATCCGAGCTGTCCCTCCCGGTTTCCAGTCAGGCTTGCCTCCGCTTCACCCCTTCACCACTCCGGGCCAACCAAGCTCCGTCTACTGCTGATACCCCTAAACCGTCCTTGACCCCGTGCTCTGACATGGAGGTCCATGACCCTTTCCGCACTTCTACCTTCGTGTCTCCCCACCTTCATTCCCAGGGACCCAGTGAACAAAGAAATAACTAATTTTGACAGGTGGAAATGGGAATTTGAAGGAGGAAGGACCTTCAAGGGAACACTGCGTCTGATAGTGTAATGAGAGTTAACTCATTACCTGCCAAAAGCACTGCTCTAAGTGTTCTAATGCACTAACTCAGCCCTCCACAGCCCTATATATAGAATCTATTATTCCCCTACTTTTACAAAGAGGGAAACCGAGTCACACAAAGGTTAAGTAACTTGCCTAAGATCTCACAGCTAGTTAGAGGCAGGGCTGGGATTTGAACTTAAGCCATCTAGTTCCGGGATCATGCTCTAAATCCCGACGTTATGCTGCTTTTCATTGGGGGGAGGGAACGGGGCCGTTTGAGGCGTGAATGTAGGCCCAGTCTGGGAGCAAGGCTGGAGGTTATGGCGGGAAGGGGTAGATATCTACAGATCGAGGAGGTATGAGCGTGGCTATAGTGTGAGTATGTTGCTAGAATGTTTCCGCCCTGAAACTTGCCGGCTGGGGGGCGCGGGAGTAGGCGCGTGTGCGTCGCCTCCCCATGGGGCCGCTCCTCGGACTCCAGTCCGTGAGGAGAGGCCCCGCTGACCGCCTTCCCCACCCCCAGTCCCGCCGGAGGTGGAGCCCAGCTCCCAGGATGTCCGCCAGGCGCTGGGCCGGCCCGTGCTCCTGCGCTGCTCGCTGCTTCGAGGCAGCCCCCAGCGCATCGCCTCGGCTGTGTGGCGCTTCAAAGGGCAGCTGCTGCCTCCGCCGCCTGCCGTCCCCGTCGCCGCCGAAGCCCCCGACCACTCCGAGCTTCGCCTCGACGCCGTCACTCGAGACAGCAGTGGCAGCTACGAGTGCAGCGTCTCCAACGACGTAGGCTCGGCTACCTGCGTCTTCCAGGTCTCCGGTGAGCGTCCCCTTGGTCCTGCGCCACAGAACCCCGCCCCAATTTCAAACCTAGCTACGCCTAGCTTGGGCCCCGCCCCTTTCCGGCTCACCTGCTCCTGATTTAGGCCCCAGCCTTTCCAGGACCTTCCCGTGCCACGTCTAGACCCCATTCATGCCTCCCGGATCCAACCAGAACCTCCGCTTACACCCTTGCCCCCTCCACTTGCCCACATAGGTCTAGGCTTTCCCCTTTCAAGGTCCTCCAGACAAGGCCTAAGCCTCACCTGTTTTAGCTCATTTTCGGTTCCGGGCCTCTGACAGCCACACCCCTGTCAAGCCGGCACCGGGCCTAGGCTTCATGCCTCAAGCCCCGCGTGCACCAGGTATGAACCCTTCCCTTTAAAGGCCCATCCACACAGCGCTTACACCTCGCCTACAGAAGGCATAGGCTCCACTCCTTTCAGCCTCGTCCAATCCCAGGTTTCCACTTCCACCTGTTCGCAAAGCAGGCATCGGCTCTCCCTCCAGCCGGTACCAGGTTTAGACCCGCCCACTCAAGCCCTGGGCACCACCCCATTTCTGCCATCACTTTGCAAGGCCCTCCTCCTTCGTCCTTGACCCCGGAGACTGCAGATAAGTAATCTTCTCTTTTCCTGACCGGAGGCCCAATGTGAGGGGCCTGAGCTGTAGCTTAGAGGAAGGAATACTCCCCTCACCAGCTTCTCTGGAACGTCGTAGGTGGCGCTGGGCCAGCTAGGACACATTACCTGAGCTGTCACTCTAGAGAGGGTCAGGCCCCTAGGTGTCCAGAAATCCCTTTCAGTCCCATCTCTTCAAGTCATTCTGGTGGGCTGTTTGGGGCTGCAGGCGGGAGTGGGTTGGTCAGAAAGGGGTGGAAGTTGTGGTAAGGGTGGAGGGGAAAAGAGGAGCTGATGGGGTTGCTGATCCCCTCTCTCTTCCTCCCTTGGGAAGAGTCAGTTCTCTGTCAGAGCTAGTGGCAGAACCCTGGAGGAGAGCCCCATATGTGCCTTTCCCTCACTTTACTGCACTATGGGTCTCCCAGTAGCCTCTGACTGATTGGGTGCCCCTTTAGCTTTTATTTGAATCTCCTCACTCAACAGTAGGGGGCTAGGACCACAGGTAACTGGCCACCTCCCCAGCCCCTCTCCAGCCCACCCAGCCCTGCCAGCAGGAGGCCCCTGTGACATTTCCCACCTCCTTCCCCTCTCCCCTGTTGTCCCACACTTTCCCTGTCTCCCCACCTTTTGGCCTCTATCTCCTCTCTCTTCTCTTCCTTCTACCTCAATATCCTTGGCCCTTCTTGGTGTCTTCTCCCCAATGCTCTTTCCCTGTAACTTTTCTAATATTCCTTCTCTGTGTCATCCCAAATTTCTCCTTTCTGTCTTTTCCTTGGCCTTTCTGCTCCATTCTCACCAACATCACCTCTTGAATTCCCAATCTCCCTTTCCTCCATCGCTCCTGCCCCATCCTCATTCTCCTCAATCTCCTCTTTTCCCACCATCTCCTCTCCTCACAATATTCCTTCCTTTTGTCTCCCCCTACCCTCTTTCTGTTCCACCTATCCTCTTTTGTCTCCCTCTCCCACACCTCCTTTCTCTATCTCTCCCCATCCCCTACCCTTCACGGCCCCATGCCCCCTCCCTGCCCTCTCAGCCAAAGCCTACAGCCCGGAGTTTTACTTCGACACCCCCAACCCCACCCGCAGCCACAAGCTGTCCAAGAATTACTCCTATGTGCTGCAGTGGACCCAGAGGGAGCCTGACGCTGTCGACCCCGTGCTCAACTACAGACTCAGTGTCCGCCAGGTGGGCCAAAGGGGACAGGGGCCCAGGTGCAGGCTAGCCCTGGGAATGCTCATGAAGCCAGGGGAAGGGGGGTGGAGACACATTCACCCTCTTATCGATAACTGTTTATAGCCAGAGAGAAAGTGTTCTGGACACAGTAGCAGGAGCTGAGAGGTTCTAGGGACCTTTCCTTCTGGACCCATACTCTGAGCACAGCCCTGAGAATTGAGCAGGTGTCTGCTGGGTAAATGTAGCGGAAAGGAGGCAGAGCCTATTCTGCTCACAAAACACAGAACCTACTCTAGCATCAGAAGTTTAAGGCATGAGCTTAAGTCTCATCCACAGGGCCCCTAGAATGCAAGGCCAGAGCTACTATGTTGGTCTTGTGTCCAGTCTAATTCCACATGGTTCTGTCCAGCGGGTCGTCGGGTGAAGGGTGAGAGTGTGACTCTGGGGCAGATTGCCTAAGCTAAAATTCAGTTCTCTATTAACTTGTGTAGGCTACATCTGTTTGCCTCAGTTTACTCATCTGTAAAATGGGGGTAATTATAATATTCCACCTGGTAGGATCATTATTTTGAATTAATGATTGCAAAGCATTGAGGACAGTACCTAGCACACATTAATTGTTCAATATATGTTACTGTCACTTATTATTAAGATAGCCCCAGGAGGCAGGCATGGAAGGGGTGATTGCTCTATCTTATAGAAGAGGAAACTGAGGGCTGGCTTCCTAGTCCTTTGCTCTTTTGCTTCCCAATGCTGCCCCCTAAAGTCACACCAGGGCCTGGGCTGGTGCTCAGGTGGAGGGCGTGGCCTGCTGGGCATCTGGAAACTCCCTGTATCTACAGTTGAATCAGCACAACGCCATGGTGAAGGCCATCCCAGTGCGGCGCGTGGAGAAAGGGCAGCTCCTGGAGTACATCCTGACTGACCTCCGTGTGCCCCACAGCTATGAGGTCCGCCTCACACCCTATACTACTTTTGGGGCTGGAGATATGGCCTCCCGCATCATCCACTACACGGAGCGTAGGTGGTGGTGGTGGTGGTGGTGGTGGTGGGAAGGGTGGGTCCATCTCATGTCCAGGGAACCCCTCTAAACTCCTCTTATGTTTCCTGAGCTTGGGTCTCCCCACTGTGCAGTATTATATTCTATCACTGCAGGCCAGGTGCCTCTGGCCCCCAGTCTGGTCCTAAGCCCAGGCACCCTCTGCACAGCCCAAACCTTGGTTGTGACTTGGTTTTCCTGCTTGCTTTCTCAGCCATCAACTCTCCCAATCTGTCAGGTAAGACACCCCTACCCACTTCTCCTTCTCTTTAAGGACACAAAGGCTTCCCTGGTGGGAGGAAGGGACCCCAAGAGATACCCAGAGAGAAAATGGTGTGGAGGCCAGTAGTTGAAAGGAGAAGCAGAAGGGAACAGTGCTGGGCTTTGAGATATTTGCATGAGGGATTTATTCTGAGGCTTAAAGGGACAGGGGTAGAATCGGGGGACATCTCTAACTCAGGACTTTTTGTCCCCACTTAGCACCATTCACTGTCCTCAAGATAAAAATGGAAAGACCAGGCTAATCCACATTCTCTGTTCCCTGGGGCAGGGTTCCTTAATCTGAGATCCATGGACCACCCCTCAGAGGATCAAAGGGGTCCATGAAACTGGAATCTGGAAGGGCATACAATTGCTTCTTTATTTTCCCTAACTTCTAGCAGAAATTTAACATCTCCTTCAATGATAAATGTAGGAAAGTGGTGTAATCACTACCTGTGACTTTGTCATCAGTAGAAATCGATGTTTTCACATCACCTAAAAGTTGTAGCAACTATCTCTAAATATCATTTCCATTCATTAGTATTTCAAAACCATAGTGGTTAGACCTAACACTGAATCTTGTGATTTAATTAGATAATAAAGAAGCCCACTTATTATATCACAAATTTGTTTTTAAATATTTTGACAACTATATTTCCTATAATTGATTTCCTTTGTAACCCTGTGTTTTTCATTTTATGCCCCTTAATAATTATTAATAGATGGGGTCCTTCACTTCACTAGATGCCGGTTAGGTTTGCGGCACAAAAAAAATTTAAGACGTCCTGTTCCAAGAACAAATTTGTCAGAGGCCTCATTGCTTGGTTTCTGAAGCCCTGGATTCCTGGGCCCACTGCTTGGATGTTTGGGAGCTGCCTCAGGGGTGGCCAGGGCTGGAGGAGGGGACCTGAGGAGGCTGACCCTCTTTGTCTCACTCCCTCCCCACCCTGCCCTGAATGCAGACAACACCTGCCACTTTGAGGATGAGAAGATCTGTGGCTACACCCAGGACCTGACAGACAACTTTGACTGGACCCGGCAAAATGCCCTCACCCAGAACCCCAAGCGTTCCCCCAATACTGGTCCCCCAACTGACATAAGTGGCACCCCTGAGGGTAAGGACATGGCCTGCTGCTAGGGATGGAGGACTGCTTCAGGGAGGGGTCTAGCCCTGGGGAGCTCCAGTCTAAGGGGAGACACAGTCCTGTCCTTAAGGACTCCAGTCTGAGGGGAGGCACAGCCCTGCCCTTAGGGAGCCCCAGTCTGAGAGAGACAGCTCTGTCTTGCTAGAGGGTTAGGAGGAAGAGAGACTGCTGCAGAGCTAAGAGCTCACAAATGCTGGGAGTCCTGTGCTGTGCTGTGAGCAGGGAGGACAGGGTGGGCTGGTGTGAGGCACCTGGGATTCAGACAGCTGATACTAAGGCAGAAAAGGAGTCAGGTGATAAGAGACCTAGGAGGGGTGAGGAGGAGGCTGTTGGCACATCTCCCCCTTCCCTGCAGGCTACTACATGTTCATTGAGACATCAAGGCCCCGGGAGTTGGGGGACCGTGCAAGGTTGGTAAGTCCCCTGTACAACGCCAGTGCCAAGTTCTACTGCGTCTCCTTCTTCTACCACATGTACGGGAAGCACATTGGTGAGTCGAAGGACCACCAGGTAGTCTGCCTGAGCGTGTGCTGGGGCTGGGAAGGGAGGGAGACCTATTGGAAGCTGGGGACTGGCTCATGTAAGACCTAGGCTTCCCAACTTGGCTGAATCACAGATCCTTGTAGGGGGTGTGAGCAGAATCTGGGTTTGGAGGAAATCCAGAGCCAACTTGTCTGAGGTTTTGAGATGATCAAAGCTTTCTGAGTCTACAAAGAAAATGGTTCCAAAAGAATGAGGTGGAAGTCTTGGAGGGGATGGAGAAATCAGCTAAGAGGTTGCATGTATTGAATGCTTGCCAGATGCCAGGTGACATCCTGGGTGCTCTGTGTCTGTGGTCTCATTAACCCTCACAACCACCAAGTGAGGGTTACCATGTAGATTAGAGAGGTTAAGAATTTGTCCAAGATCACACAGCAACCCAAGTCTGTCTGACTCTACCAAGCCTTAAACACAGGGTTGGAAGGGAGCTGCTTTGTAAGCAGTGAGAGGAAGTCCTCCTTCCTAAGCACGGCCATGAACCTAAGGATTGCCCTTTAGGAAGAGATGGTACTGGTAGGAGTGTCACATTAGTCAGTGAACTCATCAGTTCAGCCATCACTTCTGGAGCTCCTGCTCTATTGCCAGGCATCAGGTGCTGCAGTGAACAGGATGGACAAATTCCTCATTCTCTTGGCACCTAAAGTCAAGTGGGAAAGACAGACATTAAATAACTAATTGCACCACATAGGATTTAGCGACCACTGTGATGCGTGTCGGCAGCAGAAAGACAGGGGCCAAGACAGCTGCTAACAGGGAGACCTGACTGACTCTGGGGGCCTGGATATAGAGGCTCTGCTAAGGAAGAAACCATTTTAAATTTATTTATTTACTTATTTGCATATTTATAGGAAAGGTAATGTATTTTTGCATAGGTCAGAAGGTACAAAAGGGTGCATAATGAGAGTCCCTCTCCCATCTCAGTCCTCCTGCCACCTAGAGTCCTTCCCCAGAGGCAATCAATGTACTAGATTTGGTGGGTAAACTTCCAGAAATACTTTATGCAAATAGAAGCCAGTAAATATATATTCTTTTGTTTTGTTTTCATATATATATATATACAAGCCACAGAAAGCTTCATTGCTTTCCTCACTGCATGGCAGAGGAAGTGACTTTAAGCAAGCATCGACCTAAAGGCTCATGGTGGAGAAATGTCCACGGCTCGAGTGCTGGGTCAAGCTGAACTGATAAACTAGAATGAAGTGGGATGGAACCTTCTGCAGCCACTGGGGCCCCCAGACCATCCACACAATCCAGTTCACCTGTGGCTGGGTCTGGACTTTGGGAGAAGCTTCCTGTGGGGTATGTGGAGAGTGGTGGTGACCAGGACTGCCCTGTGCTGCCCAGCTAGTGTAACCAATTCAAACCGATCCTGGTTTGCCCCAGCCTTTCCCACTGTTGACGCTAGAAGTCCCACATCCCAGGCAGATCAGAAAAGGTGGTCATTTTATCTTCAGCTCAGGAGGGGATCCAGCTGGCAAGAAGAGCATATTGGCTACTGTAGGGCCCTGGGAGATCAAGCCTTAAGAGCTGGGATGCCCAGGTACCTGGGTGCAAAGAAAGCCCTGAGGGAGCCATCTGTGCTCCAGAGCTTGCTTGGTGTTCCCAGCGGGTGGGACAAACACCAGTCAGTGAAAGCTTCTGGGAGGCAGGTTTGAATTCCACCTGAGGAAGATCCTATAAGCATCAGATCTGCCCAGCAAAGGAGTGGGCTATCTTGTCCCTGGACAGGAGGACTGTCCAGCAGGGGTCCTGTGCAGGGACCCCTATCCCAGGTCATGTTACTCCCCTGCCCAGTCCCCTTCCATCACCATCTTCTCCAGGCCTTTCGTACCTGACCCGGCCCCTGCTTGCTTCTCTGACCTCGTTTTCTGCTTCTCTCCCCTGACTCCATTCAGCTCAAGCATACCAGTCTCCTTTAAATAACTGAGGCAGGTTCCTGCCTTAGAGGCCTTTGCTTGTGATATTTCCCCCAGCCTGGAATGTTCTTCCTCTCCCCTCATCCAGGCCTCCTTGGAGAGGTCCCTGACAGCCCCACCTAAAACAGCTCTCTGTCCCTTTCCTGCATTATTGTCTTCATAGTGCTTACCACCAAAGCAGCGGAAACTCCAGGAGGCAGGGGTCTTTGTCCTATTCATGGATGCGTCTCTAGTGTCTAGAAAACTGCTTGCTCAATTAATTGAATGAGTGATAGGTCTGGGCTTGATGAACCGTAAGGTAACTTCTAACCCTGAGAGACTCTAAGAAAGCCCTTTTTCAGTCCTGATGACAGTCACAGAAAGTTCTTCATTGAACATTCAAATATTGAGAACAGATAGAAATTTGTTGGAAACTTTCCCTCAAGGAGTCAAATAGGGAGAGAAGATGTGAATCCCAATAACTGCCACACCACAGAGCAGAGGGCTGTCTGGGCACAGGGATGTGCAGTTTAAGGGCTCAGCGTTCCCAGGAAGCACAAAGGGCTCCCAACGCAAGCCCAGGAAGACTTCTTGGAGGAGGTGATGTTTCAGAGAGGCCTTGAAGCACAGGAAGTATTTGGCCAGGGGAGCATAGTAGGGGAGGGCATCTCAAGCAATGGATACATCCCGGGCAAAAGCCCAGAGTCTGGAGAGCTGGACTGTGTCCAGGGTGCAGCATGTAGCTCAGTTTGGCTTTGGAGGTGACAAGGAAGGTAGAGAAGAATGTAGGGAGCAGGCATCCTTATGGCCCCAGCTTACCCTGTGAGAGGCTGTCAGGCAGCAGGGGAGATCTTAGAGCTGGTAGGATGATCAGAGAAGAGGGCAGAAATTCAATTTCTGTTTAAGCAGTGAAAAGGTGGGGTTCCCCCACTAGGGTCCTTGGGGCAGGGTGGTGGAGGAGGAAGAAAAGGTATGGGAATTGAGGCTGGACCCCAGGGGTGGTGGGATAGAAACAGGGGGAAGATCTCCGGGAAGAAGAGAGGGAGGTCCTTTTGAGTCTGGTGAGGAGCCCAAAAGGCACTGAGGCTTGGGCCCTGACTAAGCCAGTGTGGCATCTCTTGGCTGGTTGCAGCCCTCTCAGGCCCCCATCTGCTGGTGAGGGTCCCCCACGTGCCTTGAACCTTTGGTGTGCTCCTTCCACAGGCCTGGGCCTGCTACTGGGGAGAGGAGGGTGTTTCTTGCTGTGCTGGCCCCTCCTCCCCCCTCCCTTCTCACCCCACCTGGCAGCTCTGGGCACCAGCTGTCCCCAGACCTTGTGTCTCACTGGCTCTCCCTGGTCCAAGCCAACTCTTTTTGTCTCAGGCAGGTAACATTTGTTGGCTCTCCCCACTGGGGTTCTGTCTATCTGGTGTCACAGATGGTGTGGCTTTGTCTGTGGGCAGCGCCATGGAAATGCCAGCCACCAGGTGCCATTTAAGATTGATTCCCCTTCCCTCCAAGCCAGGTCTTTCCTGTCACAGGGGGCTCGAGGTGGGCTGGAAGAGCTAGCGAAGGGCATGACCTTTCCTGGGTGCTCTTAGCCAAGGCTTGATCCCCTCCTTCTCTTCCACTGCCCCTCAGCACCTCCAGAATCCCAGGCCCTGGGTCTGTGAGCAAAAAAAGCTCAGCACCCCCATACTAATACTTCCAGAATTTCACATTTTACCACAGCTATATAGCATATATACTAATATCTTTCTTTAAATCAACTCACTATTTTTTTTTCTTAGCTTTGTCCTAAGCATCAGTATTAGAGAAATCATGAGTTTGAAGGGCTACTTTATTCACCTCTTAAGACATACATATAAGTATTAAATTTTTTATTGAGGTATAATTAACATTATATTAGTTTCATATGTACAATGTAATGTTTTGACATTTGTATATATTGCAAAAAGATCACCATGATAAGTCTAGTTGACATCTATCACCAGAACTTTTTTTCCCTTGTGATGAGAAATTTTAAGATTTATTCTCTTAGCAACTTCCAAATAGGCAATACAATGTTATTAACTACAGTCATCATGCTGTACATTATATTCCCAGGACTTATTTATTTTATGATTGGAAGTTTGTACCTTTTGACTTCCTTCACCCATTTTACCCACCCGCCACCCTCTAAGTACTAAAAAGTTAAAGTCCATTCCTGTGCTTCCAAAAATCAGCATATGTATCATGTACCACCAAGTGTGTGCATTGAATTGCATGCTTTGGGGATCCTGCTCTGGGTTCAGACATGGGCCCCACTGTCCTGGGACAACTCCCCTGTCTAGAGGAGGAAGGGTGGGGTGTGTGTGTGTGTGTGTGTGTGTGTGTGTGTGTGTATGTGTTCCAGGGATAGGGGATTAGCTGATTAGGAAGGAATGGAAAAAAATGAAAGAAAACTTGCAAACTG